ATGTGATTGTACACACGTGACTATGTGAGAGCATTTTGAGAGATAGAGCTGACTCTCTCTGTACTCTTGGGTGCATTCATGTATGAGTCTCATGGTCAATATTCAATGATTATTATATCTAACTCTAATCCATTTATGATATTACATAACTGTCTTCTTTTGGAAGGTAATTCAATCACATTTGACATAATTAAATTACATAAGTCATAACATCTCTACGTACTAGATGCTTAATTTCTTTTCGAGTTGTACATTTAAATATTAACGAATGTTTGTATAAATATCTTGTTGGCTTTCAGTAGTTATCTGACTAAGATTAGTTCATTAAATTAACTGTCAAGTAACTTGACAAAACCTTAAAAGAGGTATCGATTGAAAATCTAGAACATTTCAACAGATCATATTCAATCATTAACTTGACTAAGAATGTGGTAAGAAAAACATAATAACAACATAAACTCACTAGTGACTGGCTTCAAGAGGTAAATCCTGAAGTTCTAATAAGAAGCAGTGACCATTGGAGTTCAACTGGTTCGATTGTGAGATATGAACTCACTGATGACAATGGTGAATGTGTTGCTCAATTTTGTGGATTAGTTGAAGTTAGACATTAACACTGTTGAATGCTGGTCGGCTCAGTGGTCTAGTGGTTAAATGCTCGCGCACGAAACCAGTAGGTACTGGATTCGAATCTCTCAGGAGGCGAGATCGTAGATGCACACTACTGAGGAGTCCTACAATAAGATGAAAAGGCCGTCCAGTGCTTCGAGGTTTTCTACAGTGGTCTAGTTTCAGTTGACTCATGATGTCGATCATTGAAAAAACTATATGTATTACAGAACTTCATCAAAACATCTTTGGTGATGATCTTTGACATTAGTAATACATAACTAATGAGTTCATGTTTATGGTAAAATGTATTGAATTCAAGTTCTCATATGATAATTAACACTAGAATGTAAGTAAAGATTCTTGTTGATATCTTTCAATCAGGATAAAACGTTAATTACGTTTTTCACTCTTAGGCACAATTCATCTTTCTGTAAAACTTTGAAATCATTCACAATAATCGCTATTTTTTAGTATTTGGTCCCTGTGTAACATAGGTTTGAGCTATATAAAGAGTGATATGACAGGACGAATAAGCGAGATTAAATTTTTGATTCATCATGATCTTGTTCAACATTCAGTCAGTCAGTAATATTCTTGATTGTTGTTAGAAATTGTTCACATCGTGAAAGGGTTCTTCTGGATGTACCTTAAAAGAAGATTGGGTTAGAGGTGGTCTTAGTGACCTGAAAGCTTGACCGCAGTGCTTAAGGAACAACTGATCGAGGGCGGTCACATACGACCGTTTTATGAGTAGTTTTTGTGTTAGCTCCGTACTTGTTGAGACCTTACAGCCGGAGACGGATATTTGTAGGATAAGGTGAGGCGTGTATTTTTAGTGTTGACCATTTCTATCCCCATCCCTCCTTGTGGGAGGGTAGCATCGCTGTTATGCTGGTTGTCTGAAAGAAACACCTTACTGCTGTCGCATCTCTGTACAGTCATCAGTACCACTTTGCCTTCAAACCTTGAGTTTGCTGCTTCTAGTCTTACCGCTATTCAACCGATCTGTCTGGCATGGTAGGACCTTGAGAAATGATTGTTTCAGTCAATATAACTCGATTGGTTCATTACGATAGGCAATCCTGACTACCACGTCGACGTAGCAGTAATAATCTGATTGTTCAATATTACTTCCGTCTTTAACATTTAGCATGTGATTCCTTATATTTATCATATATGTGATTTCATTTTAATTAATAATCGAAATAGGTGTACAATCATTGTATAAGTGAATGTATTTTCAACTAGGGTCGTCGTCGTCGTCGTCGTTGTGTTTTCGGATTAATACATCCTCACTTACACTAGTCTTGATGTGTTTATTTGGCGTCATGGGAAATGTAATGGTTCCTTGTTTCGGGAATAAGTAAAAAGAGACTTGAATATAGCAGAGAGTATCACTTTCTCTAATGCTTCAGAGAAAGACTTTGTATCAAGTAATATAAATAATATAAATAACTAAAATTAATTTGAATTATTAATTTCAATTTCAGACTATTGAATAACCAATGAAGTGATATAAATTGATTTCATTTCCCCAGTTTGTAAGACTCTATTTTTAATAATTAATAGTTAAATTCATGAATTGATTATAGCTAGACTACCATGAAAAACCTGGAAACACTAGGTGATCGCTTCGTTCTAATATGGGACTAATCAGCAGAGCATATCCATGAACTCGCACAATAGATTCGAACCAAAGACCTGTCAGTATCCTGCGCAAATTCCTAAAATCTAGATCAATGAGCCGGCATACAACAGTGTTAATGATTAACTTCAACCAATCCAAAAAATGTCGCCACCATCCACCATTGTCTTTACTGGGTAACTACCTCACAACAGACACAGTTGAACTCCATCTGTGACTGCTTCTCACTAGTACTACAGGAACTGTATCTAGTGAGTGGGATCGTGGTTGCACACTGCTGAGGAGTCCCATACTAGGACAAAATGGCCATCTCGTTCTTCCAGGTCTTCAATGATGGTCTAGTTTAGATCGACTCATGAATTCAACTATTAAATTACTACATTCTTCACAAAACTCCTTTCTGATATTTTTAATATTATTCCTTGAGACAAATAACACAATTATTCTATACATTTATGTGACTCTTAAAGTATTATACTAATGTGAATAATTTGATCCATCGTGGTTATAATGTAGCGAAGAAAAACACAGGTGAGGATAACCGAATTGTAAATCGTTAATTTGCAAAAATATTAATCCATCATCTCAAACTGAACTGTTCCTGTTGCAAACATCAATCCATTGTCTGACATTTCATTGTTCATGCGTTTTCATACAAATACATTCTATACCTGACCACCGTCATATACTACTTGTGTGGATATAAGTAACCCACACCACACTACTACTACTACTATTACCATTACTACTTTTGTTATATAGTTGTAAATATGATTGAAAGACATACAAATTACATTATGTTCCCGCTCTTGCTTTCTTGATCTTTTCGCATCTTCTGCTGCCAGACATTACGTTTTCAACTCGCGTCATATACTACTTATATCAATATAAGTAACGTGTACCACAATAATACGTTCTATGTGTTCAAGTTGCCTAAGTCATGGTTTTTTGTTGATTCTAATGTTGATTGTCAAAGGTCTGTTAATCAATAACCATGATTTTATTAGATTATATACATGATATTTCGTTCTATCAACTTATTTAACTGTATCAGTATATTTATTAGTAGTCTTTTGAATCATTGTTAAATTATCTCTGATCAGTGAGTATGACATTTTATGATTAAACAAGCATCTAAACTATGCTCTTCGAACCGTTTTAAATGTAATGATTTACTCTATATTCTCCATTCTTTGAATATTCATTTATATGGTATATGAAACAAAACACTTTTCATATCCTATTGTAACTTCTTTTAAGATGATAAAACTGTTGTCAGTCAGTCAGTCAGTCAGCCAGTCAGTAACAATGTGAAACTTCGTACGTACGTACATACATCAGTTCAAGTTGCCATACCACATTAGAACAGAGATTCACTGATCGATTGAAATCCCGTAGTAGTAGAGGTAGTGAAAGTATAAGTAGTGATAGGGGACATTAGGGTTTGATGATGTTATTCAAGGAGTATAATACAGTGGAATAGATTTCGAAAGAAAATAAAGGACATGAAGAATTCAGAAGATTAGAATTTGGGAGAACATAGAGAGTGGATGCACCTGCGCACACCATTGCAAACCATTTTTAGCCATGTCATTCAAGATCTCTAACCATCGGTTGTTATTGTCTCGCGGACCCCAACCAGTTAGTCTACACCTACCAACATGGTTCAGTCCACTTGTCAGTGACTTCATGGATTTGTGCCATGTTTTGGTCTTGCCGCCCCTAGCTTTCTTCCAACCTACTCCTACACCATGAAACATTGCACGTTGGGGTAGTCGGTGGTTGGGCATACGTAACACATGTCCCAACCATGTCAACTGATTAAGTTTCACTACTTCATCAATTGATTTTCTATCCTTATCTGGTATCCGTTTCCTAACGACTGAGTTACTTACTCGGTGGTCCCAAGATATACGAGCAATGTTTCGAAGACATCTATGATCAAATGCCAGTAGCCTACGAATATCCTCTATTCTTACCTTTCATGTTTCACTGCTATAAAGTAGGACGGAACGAACTGCTGCGCAGTAAACAAGTCCTTTGGTTGATAGACGGATATCTCGCCTACGCCATATATGACGCAAGTTGGCAAAAGCTAGTCGAGCCTTTGCAAACTGTTGTAGTGTCATATGGTTCAGATAGTTGTGGACGGAATAGAAGAAGCTTTCGCTTAACAGGCTTCCATGTCTAATAGCAGTGGATCATCAATACTTTCAGTCAGGAACCCTCACAACCCGAATCGGTTACTATGTTAAACTCATATACCTTTTTCTGACTTCCGTTCTTGAGTCACATTTTAACCTTGTTAATTATTCACTTGTCATTCCTGACATTTTATATGAAAGTATGTGTGTATATATCTTATCCTAGTCACCAAATGTCTGTAACTTATTTTTATCTGGCTAACAATATTGATCAACGCTTGATTAAATGAAGTTGACTCCTACGTCTTCATAACTGAGCGTCACTTCGCTTCGCTCACTTCTCTTCGATTCGTCCCTGTAATTGTCTGCCTGGATCAATGATTGTACGTATTCAAAACTTCGTTCTCGTATTCGACTTATTGAATTCCACTATACACTAAAGCGCATGAAATCAATAATAATAATAATCATATACGAGAATAGTCAGGATGTCTATCTAGACAACAATTATCCATAAGATCCAAATGAAGTCAGTTATAGAGTTACTATACTATAGTTAAAATGCTTTCTTATTCATTTATTACATTTTCTATTTTTAGGTATGTAGTTCCAATTTTGGATATTCTCGTCCAAGTGATAATGCAATTACATTACGTATTGAATGGTTATATTCACATGTATTATGTAGAGGTGATTATCAATATTATGATGAATTGATCGCAAAACAACGTTATCATCTATTGTAAGATTTCGGTTAAAGTAAATTTTTCCCTTATCTTGATTTATAATTTTAATAGGATACTTTGATATGTTCTGAATCATGTCTGTGAAGATAGCTTCCCCCCATATGGGATAGATCCATAAATGGTTTCAATAGATAAGACAATAAACGGTGAGACTATAGTTTATGGATGACCTTTGAGTGACGCTAGACTGACCTTAAGAGTGTCCACCTAATAACTAGGACCAAATGAAGGTTATAAACCTGTGTGAGGAATTAGAATGATAATTTACAGTTGATGGTTAAGGCTAGGAATTCGATTTCATCACGAACTGACATCAGCTATAATGCCAAGACTCTATTTAGCCAAATGGATGAGTGAATTTCGTGCCAAAATCCGAGACCTGTTATCATATACGTGATTGGTTCGTCTAATAAATTATAGTCTCGCCATTATAATAGTAATAATAATCATATGGAAACAACTGTGACTAACAATTCATAATGTTAAGTCTTTATTTATCCTCTCAACTTACTTCTACCTCATTTAACTTACTGCATCTAGGTACGCGTTTGTTGGACATATATGAGATACATGTCGTAGGTATTGGATTCATTTAAATTTTACGGTTAAATCACCCACTTTTTCATATTTACCTTCTAACATCAGTTTAATATCACCGTTGGATGCCGGCTAGCTCAGTGATTTAGTGGTTAAGTGCTCTCGCGCAAAAACCAGTAGGTCTAGGGTTCGAATCTCGCAGGGGGCGAGGTCGTAGATGCTCACTGCTGAGGAGTCCCACAATAGGATGAAACGGCCATCCAGTGCTTCCAGGTTTCCCGTGGTAGTCTAGCTTCAAGTGACTCATGATCTTATCCATTGTAATATCAACATTGTTTCTTCGGTGATGTCAGTTAACATGAGGATTATTTCGAATATGTCTATGATGAATTCTGATCAGTCTATATATTTTTTCTAATTTCACTGTCGTACAGTGAAATAAATCAGAACATTGATCAGTTTACCTGCTTATTCAAGAATACGGATACATATCTCACCTATGAACCCTAATTGAAGATTTGGTAAAGTTTCACATGTTTAGATAGAAATCTTGCCGTTCTGAATTTATTCATTTGATAATAATCGATGTAATAAAGTAAAAGTAATCATGATCTCAACTATTAAAATTACTATAGTTTCCACAAAACCCCTTCTGATATTAATCAATATATGCTAACTAGTTACTAGCTTTACGAGGAATTTCCTGGAGTTCTAGAGAGAAGTACTGACCATTGGAGTTCAAACGGGTCTATTTTGAGATATTAACTCATTAAAAACAATGGTGGAAGTGTCGCTCAAATTCGTGGATTGATTGATGTTGAACATTAACACCGTTGGGTGCTGGTCAGCTCAGTTGTCTAGTGGTTAAGCGTTTGGGCGAGAGATCTAATAGGTCTTGGATTCGAATCTCACAGGGGGCGGGATCGTGGATGCGCACTGCCGAAGAGTCTCACAATAGGACAAAACGGCCGTCCAATGTTTCCAAGTTTTCAATGATTGTCTAGCTTGAATGAACTCGTGGATTTGACCCTTACAATCTCCACAAATCCTTATTCTGACAATTATCATGTTCTCGCTAGTGAATAGCTTCTTAAAGTTCTAGTGAAAAATCGTAACCAGTGGAGTTCAATCCATGTCAAAGGTGAAACAGTGTGGTGTTTGAATGAACTAATGACTCCTTTGTACTTGTTGAATGTTTGATTTCGAATTCTAAATGCAGTACATTCGTTAGTACTTGTGTAGTACTTCTTGATTAAATTGCGTTATCCCTGGGATTCTTAGTTCATACTATAATTCAATTAGTCCTAATTATCATAAACAGTTATCCACCTCAGATCAGACATCAACACTATTGAACCGGTCTTAAGCTTAGACGTTATATGTAGAATCATGAATATGCACTGTTAAGGAGTTTCATACTAAGAAGAAATGTCTATCTATTACTTCCAGGTTTTCAATGATAATAGTCTAGCTTAGATTAACTAATGAATTGAAGTATTAAAAATACTGGTTAGCATTTCGTTTTTTAGCGTGTTAGTTTTCTACAGGATGGGGACGCTAACCTCCTGCTCAACCCTCCTCCTTTACAAGAGCTTGAGATTAGCAGTAACTCTAGAAGAGCTACATGAGGAGTTATTCAAACTACTACCATCTCTATAGAATAATATAAAATTCTATAAACAGTAATTATTTATTTCTTTTTTATATTTTCATTTATAGAAAAGATATAAGTAATAAAGATTTACAAAATGAACATTTAAACAAACTTAAACTAGTTCCAGTTTCAACATCAACATCAACATCAACATCAACATTATCACCATCATCTAAAGAGAATGATCAAGAGGATAATCATAATAATCGAGGAAAATTAGAATCAGAATTCAATATTAATCATTCTAATAAACAATCATCTTATTTAAGAAAATCATCTGAAATATTATTATCATCATCATCATCATCATCATCATTTAAAATTAAAAAAACTTCCACACAAAAAGGATCAATCTCACCAAATCATTCAATCTATAGTGGGAATTCTTTAACAAATTCACCAAATATAAAACATTTTTTAACACCATCAGTCATTATTAATGGTCATTTGAATTCAGATATCAATCATTTAAATTTAAATGATAATAAGGATGATGATGATGATGATGGTGATTCTTCAACAAATCAATCATGGCGTCGTCATAGTTCTTGTTTAGAAGATGTTGGAACATCAAAACCAAGACAACGTAGACAATTACCATCACCTCCTCTTCTACCTCCTCCTGCTATATTAGCATCATCATCATCATTATCATCATCAACATCAGGAGTTATATTGCCTGGAGATGTTAATATTCATTCATCAAATGATCGTTTTCAAACAACACGAACAAATAATAATAATAATAGTCCACGTTTATCATTAAAACATGAACATTCGGATTTTGGTTATTTTATCTAAAACAAAAAAAAAAAAGAAAAAAAGTAAATAAACAACAAAAAAAACAAAAAAAAATAATTTTTTTCTGTCTGTGCGTGGGTGTGTGTGCAATTTTGCTGGGTTTTTTTCTGAAAAAAATTTAATTTATCAAAATGTTTTTGTGTATGTGCGTGTGTGTGTGTGTGCGCGAGTGTGTGAGCGTGCGTAGGTGTGTGTGTGTTGTATGTTTCATGTAAACCAAACAAACCAAATTTCTTTATTTTCATTATTTATTTTAAATAGAAAAAAAACTAAATTTTCATGGTTTCTTTTTTCATTTTTAAAAGAAAAAAAAAGAAAAGAAAAGAAAAAGAAAAGATAATACTACTAATCATATACTACTCTAAGTCATTTGTATATTATAGATTTTAATGAGTTGGATCAGTTATCTTTAATTTGTATTGTACATTGAACAAGTCTGTTTTAATAGTTGATGATCACGAAACTAACAAACAAACAAAGAAACAAACAGAAACATTTAAAGAATCAAATGAAATTTTGTTTTCATGTTAGTAGATGTGATTTTTATTTATTGCATAATATACTACTATTATTACTACTTATATAATCATCAATAATAAGTAGTAATGATTGAGCTTCGTAAATAATATTCTGTTTTGTTTGAAAATTTCATTTTATCATTGATTTGTGAAGTGTGTTGTTCTCTTTTGAATTGTTGCTGATTTTCATGTTTCTTCTGAATAAAAATTCATAATCGATTGTTTCTTTTGTTGTTTCTAATTGACATTATATATATATATATTGGTTTGTTATATATATATATTTGAGATAATTATCTTCTACTTTATACGCAAAGATAGATAGCGGTTAGTAAGGGAATGCAGTTTGATGCGCGTTTCGTCCTATTTCGGGGGTCGTCAAGTGAATGTATCTGTACCTCAGAGTTTAAGCTTAGTTTGGGACTCGAACCCAGTATCATTCGCTTCAAACGTTATCGCGTTATCTATTTAGCTACTGAGTCTTGATAGCCAGCTGCTTGCGGAATGGAGTGAAGTATTATTTACTTGTAATTGTTTAGTTTTATCTTTCTATTGTTACTTTGGACTGTAATTGATCAGTTAGTTATTGACATATGTGCATCATATGTTGATCGCCTCAATATTGCCTTAATTCATACGCATTCTATGCAAAGATGGACAGTGGCTAGTAGTGAAATCCAGTTTGATGTGCGTTTCGTTCTATTTGGGACTCGTCAACTAGATGTGCTTGCATTTCAGAGTTGATGTTCCCTCTGGGTAAGTATATCTTCTACTTGTTTTCCAATGAAAAGTTACGTTATTGACTTAAGTCATTACAAAACCTGATAGGTTATATTTTAAAACTGCAGTAATTATACAGTTATCTCTTTTAAAGCGGTATTCAAGTAAGTATTTACCCTAGCAACTGTCGTTATTCAATTACTCTGAAAATGATGTATAACCGAATGAAATTATTTATTAGGAGATCATTCGATAGACTATTGAGATTTATTTATTGATCTTGCCATCATTGCGAAGTTGATCTACTGTTGGGGATGATAGATCCCCCCAAAAACTCACATTTTTTTGTAATTTTATCTTATCGATTAACTTATCGACTAAATGTTTAAATATTTCCATGACAACATCGATTTTATATGTTTGTATAAATACGCTTGATTTGTGTTCATGATTGACCTGGTATCTACTGGTTGCTTGTAGAATACACTTTCTACATCTTACAAAGACTTCTTGATCGAATTAGCTGAGTCGGGGACAATGGATCAGAATAGTCTATCGAGATTCTGAATCCTTTGATCCTTCGTTCTGTTCCGAGTGAAACGAACAAGTAGTAGCATTCAAGTTTAATCAAACCTAACATCTACATCACTCACCATTGTCAGTTGAAGAATTATTGAGAACCAGAAATTATTGGTTAAATTCAAATAACTCTTCCCTAATAAAAGTAGGTTCTGTAAGTATTAATGAGAATTCTGGACTACTGGAGTTTGATGATATGAATTGTGCGGTAGTTGTCACCTATAGTAATCGTAGATGGTCACGTAACATCAAGAATTGAGTGAAGTATATGAACTCATTTATCTGAATGTATAAAAGTGAGTATTCTCCCACACCCAACTTGACATGAATTATTTCCTAAAATGTTTGGTGACATTTTAGCCTAAAACAACTAGAAATTCTATCAGAAATGAAATCTTCAGATAAATCACATGCAGAAGAATGATACAATAGTGAAAACTGACTTGTATAGATTATAGAAGGAATTCATTTTTCGTATAACAATGTTACTGTGGTGCGCGCTACTATGGAGGTCAGCGCGCCGCAGACTCGACATTTTGACGGAGTGCGTAACACAGACTACAGAAAAGAAGAATGTTGCACGGCGAGCATGAACCACTGCAAGAACGACTGCTTTTAAAGGGGGGACGAGTGTGGTGTGTGCTACTTATGTAGACATAAGTAGTATATGATGTTAGTCGTGAACAGAATGTCTGGCAGCAGAGAGACAAGAAGATCGAACAGTAAAGAATGAAGAAGAAATATCTTCAACCGTTACTCCTCCCTTGATCAACCTTGAGGCTAATTAATCAATAGCAATCTTAAATATTGAGTGGCCTAATATGAATATTGTACTTACAACCTTTCGTAGTCGAATGTAATTGTCTCTTTTATCTTTATCAGAAGGGTTTTTTTGGAGATTTTAGAAATTTTAGTAGTTGAAATCATGAGTCAATTGAAGCTAAAGCACCATGGAAAACTTGGAGGCACTAGACGACTGTTTCGTCCCATCGTGAGACTCCTCGTCAGTGCGCACCCACGATCCCACTTCTCTACGAGATTCGAACCCAGAACCTATCAGTCTCGCGTGCGAGCACTTAACCACTAGAACACTGAGCCGACCAACATCCGACGGTGTTAATATCTAACTTCAACTAATCCACGAAATTGGGTGACACATTCACCATTGTCTTTAGTGAGTTATTATCTCACAACAGACCTAGTTGAACTCCAATGGTCACTACTTCTCACTAGAACTTCAGGATATACCTCTTGAAGCCAATCACTGGTGAGCATATATTGATTAACAACAGAAGGGGTTTTGTGGATATTATAGTCATTTCAATGGTTAAGATCATGGATGCACACTGCCACTGAGGAGTCCCACAATAAAACGAAACGGCTGTCCATTGCTTCCAGTTTTTCCATGGCGGTATCTAGCTTCAATTGACTCATGATCTTAACCATTGAAATATTATTTTACAAATTGAAAATTTGGCTCATATGTTGCATCTTTGTTGTTGTTGATCTTAATGGTTTACTTTTACGGTTATTGAACAATATCATTAGTGTATAGTTTGATGAAAATATGTTCACGGCTGAATAATTGAAATGAATAAGTAAGTGAATATATTGTTTCATTAAACATTTCATTAGATATAGTGTTTATATGTAAAACCTTACTTGCATAGATAGTCTTTCAACATGTTATTCCATGCATGAATGCATGGATATATATATATATACAGTTAGACATTTTCTAATTCAACTTTACAATGAAAGTTTAATCAAATAACATATATAATCTAAAAGTTCAAAAGAATGATCCATTTTCTTTTTTTACATAAAAACATTGTCAATTTCACATATTTTTTTTCGTTAAGAAAACAGGAAAACATGATGAGTAGAATGTTGAATTACTGGAACTGAACTTAAATTGTGAGACTGAAAGCTCTGTGTTCAAATCCCGCGAGGTGGGGTCGTGGATGCACACTGCTGAGGAGTCCCATAATAAGACGAAACGGTCGTTCAGTGCTTCCAGGTTTTTCATGGTGCTCTTACATTAATCGGTTCACAATCTCAATGATAAAAATACTGTACTGACAGTAGAACATTTCAAGGAATTAGCTAATATTCAACTCGATCTAAATTAGAAACATCAAGAATTTCGTATCAGTGTTTATGTCAAAGTATTTACTTTTAACTTTATTGAACGATTTTGATGGATACGACGATAGTGTGTGCTACTGATTTCAACAGATTTATAAGTAGTATATATCATTAATCAAACATGAAATGCCTACAGGCAGAAGGTTAAGAAGATCGAAGAAAAGAGAACGAAAACACAGAATGGTTGCTATGGAAACGATGGAACAATCAAATCTAAGATAATTGATTGATATTTTACGAATGAAGTATTTACTGTATGATTCTCAGATTTTATCAAGTTATTCTGCAATGTTATATTGAAATATATAATTGGTTGTCTTTAATTATGTTCTTGTTCACTGCATGACTTTCTACGTATTGGTGTGGTGTGTGCTACTTATGTAGACATAAGTGGTATATGATGTGAGTCATGAACAGAATGTCTGGCAGCAGAGAGACGAGAAGATCGAACAACAAAGAATGAAGAAAGAATGCATTTTGTATGAAAATGCAAGAACAAAGGGGTTCTGAGTCATTTGAAACAGTTAATGAACAATTTGCAAATTAACCATTTAATATATGGTTCTCAGATTTTATTGAGATGCTCTGTAATTTGTTGTTAAATACATTTGATTGTCGCCACCTGTATTCTTGTTCGCTACATTTGGTGTCGCTGCCAACAGGGAGAGGGGAAGGCTGCTATTCTGCGGACGCCGTTGCGGGTCTGGAGCTGAGGTGCGGGTCGGGGCTGTCTGGTGCGGAGAGGTAGCGTCTGGTGGAGTGTTCTGGCGGGGCGGCGTTGGGTGTGGCAGGTGCTGTCGACGGAGAGGAGCCGTGGGACGTGCGGCTGCTGGGCGGATATCGGATGTAGATGGCTCAGTATGCCGGTGGAGCACGGGTGTAGACGTTACAGGTGCCGGGTGGAGGTTGAGTGTTCATTCCCCGGCAGGTCGACGGAGCTATGGAAGTCAGCGCGTCGCAGACTCGACATTTTGACGGAGGGCGTAGCACAGACTGCAGATGGAAGAATGTTGCACGGCGAGCATGAACCACCGCAAGAACGATTGCTTTTAAAGGGGGTTTGTATGAAAATGCAAGAACAATTAATGAACAATTTGCAAATTAACCATTTAATATATGGATCTCAGATTTTATTGAGATGCTCTTTAATTTGTTGTTAAATACATTTGATTGTCCCCATTGATGTTCTGTTCACTACACTGGTTGTTGAATTTGCTAAATATCAGAAATAAATTCTTTTTTTTTAATTACATGAGTTTTCTTAGTTGAGTAAATATCTACAATCCTACATTACTCACTAACTATCCATGAGACTATATGATATTTCTGTTTAAT